ACAGAGAGGAAATGAGGACCTTTCCAAGACAGAAAACCCGTATGTTGTAACACGCAACTACTTTGTTGCTTCATCAAGTGCCTACAGTGTACCTAAATTCACAATAAAAAGTGAAGAAATATGTTGACAGCACTTCACCCATGTTCCATTGACAGGTGTTTCGTGCAGGGTAGTGTCCTCTTGTGTTAATAGGATCAGCTCACAGAGCTTGCCTGCTTTGTCAATCAAATCCTTCTTCACAGCAACTTCACTGCATGGCTGGAAGGGCCCACTTGAGAAGTTACTTGAGAAGTTACTTGGATAAAAAACACCAAGAATCCTCAATCAAACATGTTTCTTGAGTGCTTGACTGCTAAGAAAGAGGAAGCCTGGCTGATCAGAGTTCAGTTTGACAGTTGCTGTTGAAGAGAAGTCCATACCAACTGACAACAGTTAAATAATAAGAGGTTTGGACTACCAGGAGCCAAGTAGAAGAGTGTTAGGTAGTATATGCTGGAAAGAATATTTCACTATCTGGCAGCAATCCCAACAAGGTGGGCACCTGGCTTTGGCTGGTAACATAAGTGGATGGATGCTGTGTCAGTGATGACAGGATACCTGCTATCACACATCTGTGACAGATATAACAATGACATTATTCAGAAATACCCTAAGAATAAAAGCCTGTGAGCCCTTTTGTTTTTGCTAGTGTTAGTAACAAAATACCACTTCTCTGATTTAGGCAATATAGGCTGAATGTTGACTCTCCTATATTTCTGCATTAGGCAAGAGAAACTGTCATTTTCTTCCTACAACCACCAACAAAGTCTTGTTGGAGTCAGTAGTTTATTTCATAAACTTCAAGACAGTACACATCATTAGAAAATATTACTTTGCCATGCTAGTAAAGTTGTTATAGCACACATACTTCACCCCTATGACCTCTTACTGAGATTAAATAACAACTTAGGTACTAGATTTCTGATTGCTAGCTAAGGCGAAAAGAGACATACCTACACCCTGGAAGCCTTGCTGCACAATTTTTTAAGGGGATGTTGTGTTTCAATGCATTGTCACAGAGTAGCTGACAAGTCTGACATGAATATTTCTAGGATTGATGTCAACAGGCTATGATTTTAAAGTGTGCAAAGGACATTGTTGGCACATGCAACAATGGTCATGATAGTGCACTAACAACTCAAAATGGTCTTGTTGGTCAAGGGGTAAGCTTGTACAAAACATGTACTCTCTTCGTTACACTATCAGAGTTGCAACTTCACTCTGAAGTATAAAGAAATTCATATTGCTTCCTCTACATACAAGGTTATAGACCACTGTCAGTCTGAGACTTTAAATATTCTCTGAACAAAATATTCAAATTAAATTCTGAAACTATTATCATCATCTTGCCATTTAACTAGAAACAGATTTTAAGAAGCTGTGGATTCAACTTTGCTAAATAAGGGATATTGACAGTTCCCTTCTCATGTTTTGCTCTCTGGAGAGTGGCACATTTGCTACCCAAAACTGAACTTGGGTTTGCTGTGAGAAATTAAACAAAAGAAAATCCTACATGTTTCACTAGGATTTTGCTCTGAAATGTCATATTCAAGGCAAGTCTCATACTTTGGCATAAGGGGTGTTGAGTACAGGTAGTTTACCACAAAACACTTTGCATTCAAAAGCACAGCTGAGCTGACAGAACAGTGACAGCTGCAACATTACCCAGCTAGAACCCCAAAACTCAAAACCAAAATTTTGCAACCTGTGTTTTTTAATGATAATTTTGTCCTTTTATGATTTTAGAAAGAAGACAAAACTGAATCTAACATGGGAGTTTTTATTTTAATTAAAAATTTGCAACATTACAATTTTGTTCCTGATTTATATCTAGCCATGCAAATGGGCAGAACAACATCTACAATGTTAAAAACTGAGGAAAATATTTCCATTTCACAGATACTAAGGACAGATATATCTACACCAAAGACAACAGAGTTTATATTCAGATATATCTGCACCAAAGACAACAGAGTTTATACTCAAAGAGCAGAATAAAGAACAACACATTTTATAATTAACAACATTTTCATATATCCTATTTCAGCTTTCTTTTTCTTGAAATTTACATCAACACAAGTGAATTTAAGCATTTTTCTTATGGACAGGTAGAGTTGCCAATGTAATCAGTTAAAATCCTAATCACTCTCTACTGTTTATATCCAAAAGACTATGAACACTTTCGTGTAACCAATACTGCACACTGGCACTCAGATATTTCATATTCTGTCAGGGGAAAACATGTAACACTAGAGCCAGAGGCACCACAGCTGCTCAGGCAAATGAGCCCTGATCTTACAGGACCTCTGGGAAAATGAATGCTGTCGTGTCCTAGCTTGGACTGAACAAGCTCTAGACTGTCCATCCTGCTCACAGATATAAAGCAGGTTTGTAGTTACTCATATTTAATTTAGAACCCTATTTTCCGCATTTACTGTCTAGTACTAAATGGTTCTGAAGCTGCTACAAAATTCAAGGCTCTAAATCAGTAAAAGCTATAAATTGAAAATATGGTAATTTATCTTTTATATGGGTAGAGGAGGAAAGGAAATGATTTATACATCTCAAGGCTGAAGCTACAATAGCTGCAACAACCTGTGTACATGTTTCCATCACCGTATAATCACAGAAACACAGAAGGTGCCAGCTGACTGAAAGCTGGCAAATGTCCCAGTTTTCAAGAAGGGCAAGAGGGATGACCCTGGTAACAACAGGCTGTCAGTCTCACTTCAGTGCCTGGCAAAATTACAGAGATTATTCTGTGAATTATTGAAAAACACCTGAAGGACAGCACAGTCATCCATTACAACTGGCACAGGTCCATGAGGTAAAAGTCCTGCTGGACAAACTCGATTTCCTTTCATGACAAGTTTCCTCACCTCACTGATCAAGAGAAGCCAGTTGATGTAATCATCTTTTTCAGAAAGCTTTCCATACAGTCTCTCATATCCTTCTGGACAAAATGTCTGGCTGGATAAACACATCATGTGATGGGTGAGGAACTGGCTCACGGCTCGGGCACAAAGGGTGACAAGTGAATGGGGTCACATGAGGCTGGTGACTGATCACTAATGGGGTTCTGCAAGGTTCCTTTTTAGGCCTAGTGCTCTTCAACATCTTCATAAACTACTTGGACCTAGGACTGGAAAGGATACTAAGTAAGCTTGTCAATTACAGTAACTTGTGAGGAAAGAAACTAAGGGTACTTTGCTTAGACAAAAAGACAAAATATAATGATCTTGAAAGAAGTGTCAGATCTGCAATAGAACAAAGCTCTTTCTACCATTCACTGTAACTTAAATGTAATAGGCTTAAAATGACTAAAAACAAGATGTACATTTCATACCAGGAAAAACAAAAATCAATCTGCTAGAAAGGATAGTTAAACTCTGATTTCACAACGTATCGGAACTTTCAGAAACACCACAATAATGTTGATATATATTTTTCTACTCTGATTCTCTTTTTGGACAGTTGTTAAGGCAGGTTCAAGGAGTAAGATCAGTGCAAACATATGGCATTGTCCCTGTGGAATCTCCCAAGTTTTAAAACATTTGTGGCATACAGACCTTTTAATAAAGTAATCTCTTGCAGAGAAGTCGGTGCAAGTTTAAATCCCCTAAAAGTAGGATTTTTATAAAGATTCCTCATAAATACCATTTATCTTACTTATAATCTTTTTTTCCAGATTTTTTTTAAGAAAAATTGTGGAAGAGTTTGTTTGTTAGAAATGAGTAATTCTCTGTACAATGCACGATCCAGTCAGATAGCCATCAGAACTGACACTGACTTTTCTTTAAAACATAAACAATGAAAATCTTGGGTGACAATGTGCACTATTTCATCCTCCGTCTTTATGGGTCAGGTTTTCTGAAACTGTTATGAATAAATCTTTCTAATAAACAGAATGAAGCTTAGGGAAGAAAAATCAACAAAGTGCCCGTTACTTAGTTTGATATAAATAAATATCAAAAGGATCTCTGGCATAACTTTTGGGTTATGCCCTGTGTCCAATCTGAATTTCGCCTTGACTCCCTTCCCTGATGTCCTATCACTGGTCACCAGAGACAGGATATCAGCATCTCCCACTCTGCTGCTACTGCTGTTTGCTGTCCTCTCCAAGCTGAACAAACCAAACAAACTCAGCTATTTCTTGGAAGTCTTGCATGTGAGACCTTTCACCCTTCTCTGGACATACTGCAGTGGTGCTCAAAACACAGAGTGGGATAATCCCCTCCCTCGACCGGCAGCCAATACTGTACCTGATGCCCCCCAGGACACAGCTGGTCCTCCCAGCTGCCAGGGCAGTATGTACAGCTGACTCAGATACAACTTGCCATTAATCCAAACACCCAGCTGTCTTTCTGCAGGGCTGCTCTCCAGCCTATTGTCCCCCAGTGTGTATGTATTATTACCCAGGTGGAGAATGCAACACTTGATCTTTGTTGAACTGCATGTGTCTGGTGATCATCTCGCTCTGTAGCCTTTTCAGATCTCTCTGCAAGGTCTCTCTTCCATTAAGGGAGTCCACAAACTCCTACTAGTTTAGTATTGCCAGTGAATTTACTTAATGTCACACAAAAATATCACCAGAGAACCTGGTCAATTTTGCAGAGTTTTAACATTTGGAACAACGTCAGCAATAGTACCATGAAACAAAACATCTATAGTAAACAGTAGTCTATTCTGAAACTATGAAGGAGTGAAGTCACACTGGGTCTTTTGAGACCCAAGTCTTCCAAATGGTTCATATATCAAGAGTCCAGTTTAGAATGACACAATATTTAGTATTTTTCCAAAGGCTTATCTCTGCTTTACCAAAGGTGATCTCACAAAAAAACTGACTCAGCAGTTGTAATCCGCAGCCTTAACAGCAAGATGTTGAAATACTATGTTTTACATTATTATATTAATATCCTTTAAAATGTATAGTGTTGAAGTATCACGCTAAATGCCAGGAACACTGTAAACATGTTTTTTATTTGTTCACTGAAGTTTACACAAAACATGTTAATTCGGTTTAAAAAAAACCTCAACACAGAAGGCAGTAGTTTGGTTTTTATTTGTAAACAATAAAGCATCTCCCCAATTCAAATTCAGTTCTAACAATTCTGAGGAGTCCACAGTGGCTATATTTACTTACATTTTAATATCAGAAAAAAAATAATATTAACATTCCAGATTACTGTAGAAAAAAGTGTATACCACACTTAATGGCATACAAGACTTGTAACAAGCAAAAAAACCCGTTTTACAAGTAATCTCCCTTCCAAATTGGTTTTTATTTTACTGCAGTTAGCACTCTCTCCCCATAGACTATACATTTAGAATCCTCTATATACAAAAAGGTACAACAAATTGGTACATTACTTATTGCAAGAAATTAAGGATGCCATAATATACACAAATTAAATTAGTCCCCGCCCCCTTGCATACCCTCTTGCTTCTTATTTCTCCCATGAAGCAGTCTCCTTCTCTGGTTTCTAAGATTAAGTTCTTTCACTGAAAGGCACGTACTTCTCTACAACAGAAGAAACAGATGCATTAATCTGAAATGCCCTGTTTCAAGGGGAAATTCAGCCTATATTTTTGAAGAATAAACAGTATGAAAGAACCAACAGAGACATTTTATTATTAAATTTGCCTTCAAGAGTTACCAGAGCAAGTGCTTTTCCTTGCGCCTTGCAGTATAAAGCAAGTAGTTTCTGTGTGAAGTCATCTAACAAGGATTATAAATAATTTGTGTGATATACCTTTGAAAAACAGATGTGATATAAGTATACTGTTTACCCAGTTAATATGTATGCAAAGCTGTATTACGAGAAACCAAGGGTTAGAACTTCCAGCTTGGACATTTAATAGCATGCTATTGAACAAATGATTAAAACATCCTGCTCAGGTAAACTGCCCCAAACTGCAGCAGCGGACAGATTAGGGACATGGTGATGACAACAGCAGGAGTACCCTTAAACTGCACTTGTGTTACAACAGCAGGTACTGGGACTTCTTTTTCATATAGCTCTGAAAGAAAAGAGCAAAGTGTAGAAAACTGTATCTGGACACCAGTGCACTACTATGGTGATTTTAGGACAAGACAGTTTCCCTGCCTAGTCTTGGAAAGGTCATATTACCAGCTAACGCAGAACAAGCCTATAGGGATTCCTAACATATGCATACTGTGCTGTAGACCATCACCTTAAACAACGCTTGATTGTTTCAATCAAGAAAAATGAAAGCAGAGTGGATACCACAAACAGGTCATAGAGAAATAAAGAAAAAAAGACATCTACTTTGTAATTTGATGTCAGTAACAAATGTATATGAACGTGTAGATTAGAATTTCCTGTAACTATGTTCAGTTTTTTAGTGCCTTCCATCATGAGTTATGAGGAAAAAAAACTTAATGAACTGAATAAGCTAATTGTTGACGGTAAGTTAGGCAAAACTGCAACTGTTCTTTGCTCAACAAAGCACTAAACTCAAAAACCGCTAAGGGCCTCTCTTCGTTGTTCCCTAATGAGTTGCTCCAAGCCTGACTGGACATTCATGCTACCTTAAAAAGCCCCAACCAACCCTTCCTCTGAATTTCTGCAAATGTCAGGACAAAGTGCAATGACATCTCCTGAGAATATCCGAGTATCATTTTCATCAAGTTGTCCTCAGCAACTCTTTGATTATTTACATATTTTGTACTGCCTTTGGTCATTCTTGCTTAAGCAGTGACACAAAGACTGATTACTAAGCTTCAAAGCAGATGCAAAAGACTTCGTTGAAACCAGGGGAGATGAATTAAATTTAAAAAGTAACTTCAATTAAGGTTAAAAAAAAATAAAATTCGAGCACTCTATCTTTCAAACTTTCCTCCTAGCAATGCCATTGCCTTGCAAAGTTTGGACAGCACTTTATCAAGCTGTTCTACAGAGATCTGTGGAATGAATTCACATTGTTCAGCATTACTTTCCTACTGTACATGAACACTGGTTCAAAATAAAAAGTAACACTTAAGATTTTAAGAGCTTCTCCCCATAAAGGAGAACACTGCAAGATCTCAATACACAGAAACAGAGTATATTCACAGTCTTGACTAAACATAACTGAAGCCCATTTTTTCTCAAGTTACCAGTATCAAAACAAGGACTTTGATAATTTAAGCACATACTTTCTCAGTGATATTGAAACAACAGTTTAGATACTTCTACAATGAAATACTCATATGAATTTTTTTTTCTCCATAGACTGAAGTGTTTAGAAGTACAAGGAAAAAAATAAAAATTAGAAATCCACTTTTTGAAAACTGTAATTGTATGATACTGTTTGTTAATGATGACACTATTATTATGATGGTACTTCCTACTAAACAATATACTCGATACTCCTGTAAATAAACATTTATAAAGAATATCATGTTAACTCGTCATCAAATACCTCAAAGTCTAAGAGAAATTACAAGAGAAATTACAAGGTTTAAGGAAGACATTGAGAGAATTCCTGGATACACTGTGACAATTATACTGGAACAAGACTATAAACATGGGGTAACTGTAAGCGCCACGTGATTCTGTAGTACAGAGGAACGCTAAGTGTAGATATTACAGCTAGTTTATTCTAGTGTATGGTGGAAAGAAAACAGAAAGACAGACTTTGACTTATGAAAAAAAATTAATCAGAAAGATTCCTCCTAAGGAGACAAAGTTAAAAGAGACTGAACCTTTCACTTCAAGTTCCAGAACTGCACCCAGTGTTATTTCTTGACAAACAGCAGAACACCTTACTATACCAATACTTCTAATTCATTTGAGACACCATGTATTGCATTTGTTGAATTGTTCTGCTTGAGACTTATTCAGTTTAACAATAAACAGTTAATTCAACTGTTTGCTGTGACTGGCAGAATTCATCATTTTAAATCTTCTGGTACTTGACAGTAGTCCTCACTATGATAATACTACCAATTTTTTTTTCCATATCTTTATATGTGCAGTGTGATGACATTGCTCAAAAAGGAAAACTTTGAAGTCTGAATTGTGTAAATTTAAGTTTCAATTGATTATAATCTTTAAGTGAAAGACAATAAGGAAATACAACAAAATTTGAAGACAATAAAGAAATAGAACAAAATTTTCCTTTATCTATGTAGTTGCAAAAAGTGACCTAAGAATATGAGCCTTTAAGTGCAGCAGTACCAAATGTAAAACTTGGTGCAAGATCATCATCAACTAACTGCTGACTACTTTAGCAATGAGAATGCAGAATGAAGCAAAGCTGCTTGAAGCAGAACTCTCAGATGAGAATATACAGGAAAACCTGAGGAGCTTCCAGAACAGAAAAAAAAAAGAAGGAAAGAGAAGGTTGTGGACTTTAACATAAGCTTCAAAAATGACACTGTATTTGTAACAAAAATATCCTACCTTCCTCTCCATTTCTCTGGAATTCACATGCTGAAGACAAATGGTGTTTATCTTCTTGCCCACTAAATTCTTGCCCATTTAAAATTCAAGTGATCTTGACATCCCTTCTCCAACTATGCATATGAAACACAGTAGTGAGCTTTATCAAAGAAACTGCTTATCACCCACACTCCTTCACTTCTATTGCTAGAAGCACATTTCGGTTCTAAATACTAACCTTCGAGGATGATTGGCATCAAATAGCGTTGTATCATCATCATCATCATCTTGCTCTAATGGGGTCAGCTCCATGTTTTCTATGTTTGTGTCCAAAACTCCATATCTTCGGGTTTTTCTGTTTCGCCTTCTGAGCCTGAAAGGTATTTTAAAACATTTAGGTTACATGAATATTTTTCTACTTCAACAGTGTAAGAAAACCATTCCTTAAAATACGATACTTAGTATAAGTTTTTTAAAATTTGTAAGTGAAGTGTATACACTCTGCTCTATGAAATTCAGAGGTCAGACATTTAAGAGTCAACACTTTACATGAAATGATTAAGGCCAACAAGAATGTCATCTGTAGTTTTGTATAGAATTACTGCAGTGAATACAAAAAGCCTACACAGGCTTTTGTGTAGCTAAATGTAAGAGCCAAGTAAAAATACATGCAAATGTATACTTCTAGTAGGTCCTACAGTGAGAAAAAAATTGCCTTGCTACATATTCTCTATGTGTTTTATGCATTTATAAAGAACAGCAGAACAAATCAGAGAGAAATGAAACAAAGCTATAGCAAAGGTGTAACAGAAGCCATGGGTGACACTGGAAATTTTTATTATCATTTCTGCAGTCTTTTATAGATATCAAGTTAAAACACTGTTTATAACTGCACTTCAGAATAAGAGAGAAGTTGTAGAGTCAATTCCTTGTATGCTTCACAGAACGCGGAAGGAAGAGGCAGCGACTCACATTTCAGATTAAGGTACAGTGCTTATCACAGACACGTCAACTGTTTGCATCTGCTTTTCTCACTTTCTGGGGCTTTGCTACATGGGCCCAGATTCCATGTGAGCCCCCACACAATGAACTCTTCCATTTGACTTATCAGAACTACTCGTGCACACATGGAACAACCCTTGCCCAAGATCCAAAATTCAGATCAGTGAATACTTCACAAAGGCATCTGTCTACAGAATGATGACAGTCACATTTTACCACATTTTTCCTTAATAGGTTAATATGGAACATAAGTTGCTACTGTAAGTCAAGAATAACCTAAGAAGCTATAGCAAACATCTAGATCGCAGATTATGCAAAAAAATCTCATCACATAGCTGGCACATATTTCTAGATTGAAACAAATCCTGTTAATAAAAAGATAAACTAATCACTTGTGACATAAAACTTTCTCTATATACCAATTAGTCAAAAGACCACAGCTACAAGAATACTTGACATGCTTATGCAAGATTCATGTATGGTCATAGCTATAACTCTAAAGCAGTGTCCTGCCTTTTAACAAAATCTACCTTAAAATCCTTTACTCTGTGACTGTTATAGAATGCAATTGTGCAGTTGGAAAGGACCTACAACGACCATTTAGTCAACTGCCTGATCAATTAAGGGCTGACCAAAAGTTAAAGGATGGTACCATGGTATTGTCCAAATGACCCTCTCTCTAAGAAGCTCTTTGACCACCCTATTGGTGAAGAAATGCTTCCTAACATCCCTTTGATGCCTCTCCTGATGAGCCATAGTCGACCCTCAGGCCTCCTCTTCTCTAAACTAGACATGCCCAAAGTCCTCAGTTGCTCCTCACAAGACATGCCTTCCAGCCCATCCACCAGCTTGGTTGCTCTGCTCTGGTCATGTTGAAATGCTTTACTATTGTTCTTAAACTGGGGAGCTCATCACTGCACACAATACTCAGTGGAAGGCCACACCAACGTTGAACACAGGGGACAATCCTCTCTCTTGACTGGCCTGTTGTGCCGTGTGTGGTGTACCTGGGATGCAGTTTGTCCATGATGACTGATACTGAGATGAACATCAACCAGCACTACCAGATCCTTCTACAGGGCTGCCCTCCAGCTACTCCTCTACCAATTCATACTTGTGTCCAGTGTCAGTCTGTTTCAGCTGCAGAGTCCAGCATTTGTTCTCATTAAATATCATGCCACCGGTGATTGCCCAATGCTCCAATTCATCCAGATACCTCTGCAAGGCCTCTTGTCCCTTGAGAGAGTCAACTGCACCTCCCAGTTTGGTATCATCCGCAAACTTGCTAATGGCACATTAAACTCCAGCCTTCAGATAAAAATACTGACCAGAGTTGGCTTAGAACTGAGCTCTGAGGAGCACCACTGGGGACTGGCTGCAGCTCTTCACTACAACCCTTTGAGCCCTGTCATTCCACCACATCTTCACCCACTGCACCATGAATCTGCTCACTCCACAGCTGGACAACTTGTCCAGGAGGGTACCGTGAAGGACAGTATCTAAACTCTTACTAAAATCCACATAAGCTACATCCACTGTCTTCCCTTCATCCACTGAGCAGGTCACCTGGTTGAAAGTCTGCAAAAGAGCCCTGAAGTTTTTATGTCTGATAGCAAGACATATGTATTCATTCCAAGAAAACCTTTCAAAAAATGGAGATGTTTGTACTCAGGCTTTATATTTCTTATACAACTGTTGCAAAAATATTTCATCTACAAGTTCAAATTCAAAAACACACACTTCATCTATTCCAAATTTCAAAAGCAAGATGCAGCAGAACTATAGAATAACATGAGGCTTAACCCTCCTGTTTATGGTGGCACCTAGAAGACAGTACTACAGTTTCAAATGCAGAACTGTCAACTTCCTATTGCCCAAACTAGAATGTCAAGGAATTACCACTGATCCAGAAAATAATGGCAGTAGATGAGAATTTTCCTCTCCAACTCCTTTTATTTACTCACACCTCCAAATACAATGGGCTTCTGTTAGGAGAAACACTAACACTGACAAGTGCTCTCGTCTACTTTTACTCACTTAAAAAAGATTATGACATTTCCTTTTAAGATATAAGACATGCATCTTAACGAAAATAAGACTGAAGGCTTCTCAAGAATGACCTTTAAGAGCTATTGAGCAATCACAATATCCTAATTTGCTGTATTACATGCTAGCACATGCCACACACCATCTTTCAACTTCCTTTCTGGAATAAGTGATGCAAATACTAGGCACAATAATCACCAGCATAACTAACTACAACAAAAAGTACGTAGTAAACTTGGTGCACAATTAATGTGCTTTATGCATAACCACACATTTGGGCCTTGCCCAGAAGGGTTCCAAGTTAAAGCGTGACAAATATAAGTAAAACTACAAATACAAAAAAAATACTGAAAAAATACAGTCACAAGTAGTGTACTTAACTGTATGAGCCTAAAGGCACTTGGCTAGTAGAGCAAGCTTTTTAAGGGCCCTTCCCATTAAAAAGTACAAACTAGGTAAGTTTACCGTGAAAGAAACCATAAAAGAAAGATGTTTACTGAGAAAGACGGAGAGAGGGACAAATTCGGCAGCTTAGCGGGTCAGAACTTTGCAAACAGGTCAGTCTGTTAGAGAACGTACAAAATTAAATTCAGCTCGGCTGATGGACGAAGGCCTCTTGGGGAGCACAGAGGGGTGGTCAGGAAAGGCCTGATGTGTGCTATCCAAGCCCCACGGAGCTCCTTCCCGCCTAGCCGGGGAGGCGGCACCGGGAGCTCCCCAGCGCTCCTGCCCGAGCTCCCCCCAGGCGCCCGCCCGCTCCCTCCCTCACCGCACGGTCCGGATCACGAAGTAGACGATGAGGGCGGCGCTCGCCAGCACCAGGACGGACAGGGCGCGCTGGGTCATGGGCTGGCCCTGCTCGGGCGGCGCCGACACCTCGGCCAGGCGGCTGCTGCTGCTGCTCCGTGTGGCGGCCCCGCCGGCCGCCTCCGTGGGGCGCGGGGAGGCGGTGGAGGCGTCCCGGGGCCGCGGGGCCGCAGCCTGCCCGCAACTGGAGAGCAGCAGCAGCAGCAGAAGCAGCACTGGCCCCGCCAGGAGCCCGGGCAGCGGCCGCGGCCCCATGTCCCGCCCGGGCCCCGCCGCCTCGCTCCGGCCGCCGGAAGCGGAAGCAGCCGGGACTGCCCGCCCCGCCGGGAGACTCCATGGATCTTATTGGAGATGCTTTTCTACCCGTACGCGGCCAGAGTAGCTCAGGGGCTACTTGGAAGGCAACCAGATTTAAGGCAGATTTTTTTTTTTTTTTTTAACGGGTCCCTCTATTTTAGCCTAATTCTGTCTACGTGCGAAAGAATGGAAATTTTATAACTGAGTTAAACGAAAGCAGGAAACTTCCCAGTGTGACCCTTCACGAGGCTCTCTGGCAGGAGCATTCCCAGTGCCAGAGGCTGTCACTACGGGGACCGAAGCCCCTTGACGGAGGGCGGTTCCAGTGATCCGACTGGAGGCCTCTTGGCTCTCTCCTGATGCCCGAAACCCGGGTACAGAGGAAGGCTCCCTAGTACTCACAAAGACTCTTAGAACCCTCCTCTGTACCCCGTTTGCGGGCATCAGTCCACATCTCAATCCCCCACGGTCAGACCCCGTTTCCTCCCCTCTGCGGCGCCGGGTATCACCACGGCAGAGCCCCACAGTCTCGTTTATTCGCGGCGCAGTCACGCAGATCTGCTTTCTCCGATGACGGAGAAACCAGGTGTGTTCCTCGACAACAAGCAAAAGGAGGGATTGGAAAAGGGTCCGAAGGTTGGGACTCCAGTTTTTTTCTTCAGTTGTGGTGCAGTGGTGGAAATGCCAGGACAGGGTTGTGTCTGGGCGGATCGCAGAGAAGGTGGTGGAGTAGCGTTACAAAGCTTAGTGGGCATTCGAGAACACGAGAGAGGAGTCCGACGCAGGGTAATGCTGTCTACAGAATGACTCTGCCATAAAGTTTATTGTGTTTGTGTCATGTGTGTTCCTAAACTAAGTGCTGCTCTGATAGGATAATCCGTTTATTGTTAATACCTGTAATCCAATTATTTTCATTGTCTCTCTTTTTTTATTTCCCCCCTGGGGTCCCACGTGCATAGAGAAGGTGAAATCTGCATTGCCAATGAGCTCTTTCTCATTTGTCACTGTGTTGAAGGGAATGGATAAAATGCCAGAGGAACAAAGCAGCTTTGTACAGAAATATTTTTGCAGTTGAAGTAATAACCAGATTTTTTTCATGAGCAGACTTGTTATCACAGAGGCCTTAAATTTACTAGTGTATCAATCATATTGGGTCATACAGAATCACATATAGGTAATGTCAACAGTGATTAGTTAATTTATTAACAAGCTAATGAGTTTAGTTAGCTATTAATTAACTGTGAAAGCAGAGTCAAGGAGAATGTGGAAACTGTAAAACTGATTTAAATATCACGTGAGCCATTAAACTATCATCTGTGTATCTTCTCTTGAAAAAACATGGTCCTTTTCATGGGAATAGACTTTCAGATTCTTTGAACAACAGGTTTTGCTGAAAGTGCTGGAAGGGTGGAGCATGTGAATAAACCTTTGTGATAGTTTTTACTGTGGTTTGTAAGTTTGACCGATTCAGGTCCTTCCATTCCCAATCAAGCTGCTTCTACCCCATGAATTCTCTTGAGGTATATTTTCTCTTAACAAGTCCAAGCAACTTCCTTCCAGCACAGTGACTTATGACAGAAGAAAGTGTCATATTCAAAAGTCAAAGAGGAATAATTTTTACAATGTCAGTCATTGATGTTAAACTGTTCTAAAGAAGTATCCATAACACATGGACTACGTAAAATGTAACAATGCTGACACTCAGGGTGATGTGACAACATACTGCATGGTAAACTGCATGTCAGATGCAAAGCATGGGGGAAAAAGAAAAGAGTATTGCGTTGGTCAGTAAAGACAATGGCATGACAGTATTCAGATTTTAATATGCCCATTGGCAAAACTACCGTCATTAAAGCTGAGGATTCTCGTGCTGTTTGGACAGGGAAAGTTGCTTTTTAAAGTGTTTTGGTTTGGTTTTTTTTCCTAAATGGGAAGCTGATGCTCTTAGAATAAGCAAAGTTAATATGGTCTTTGAGTTTTGTTTTGTTTTTTTTTTTAAAAAAAAGGGTAAAGCAATTTGTGTTCTGTATTTTGAAACAAAAATTAAAGTCCTTGTATATTTGTTGGAGTTTCATTGTTGTTGTTGTTTGTTTTAATCATCAAAATGCATAGATTTGTTTAATATTGAGTCAAGTATAAATAAAGTTTGTATGCAAAAATGTGCTTTGAGAGAGCTTTAATTCTTTCATTAAATTTGACATAACTTTGATCCTGCACGTGGAGATTGATTTGACAGTCATTTTTACGTGATTGTTAGTAACTGTTTTCTAATTTGCTGGTTGGAGACAAAGACAAGAAAAATATTTTAAGAACTTGTGATGTTCTGTGATCATTCTGGTATGCAGCCGCTTTTGCAAGGTGTGTCTTAGGGTTATATTCCCCCATCTGAGGGTAAATTGTAAGATTTTTCTCACTTACAAAAGAAATAAGGAACTGTCATATCTTACACCCAAAAGGTGTAATGGAGCTTACTTGCATTTTACCTTTGAGAAAAACAAAATTGGCCATTTTTTTTTGAGTTCCATAAAATAGGCCTTGCAGATGAGTTGAAAGAGCAGAAAAATTACTTTACAAGATTATGTCAGTGTCAAGGATGTGTGGAAGAGGTCTTTTCATCAGGAAATGAAACAGTGGTTCAGAGAAAGGCACTTGGAAGCTCTCCATTTTTATTTTGTCTTGTTTTGCTAGTTCACCTAAAATGTCAGCTTGTGCTTCCTGATACTTGTATTAACAAAGGGCACCATACAGAGAACATCTCTTTCCTTTTCCCTCAGCTCTATTAGTCTGTCTGTATTACAGATTATTATGAGTTGGAAGGGACTTACAAGGATCATCAAGTCCAACTCTGAACTGACTGGTCCACATGGGGACCAAAACCACAACCCTGGCATTATTAGCACCATTCGCTAACCAATCAAGCTGATGTCAAGTTGTTTCTTTTCATCCTTTATGAAGTCCTTGTGGAATGACTGTCAGGGGATCTTGAAAAACGAAGACACCAGAAGTGGTCACTCTTCTCTGCTCTGATAGGTGCAAGCTACCTCTGCCCCTGTGAGCCATATAAAACTCCTAAACTCTGAATAGCACTATCCAGTTCTATAGGTGTCCAAACCATGTTCTACTCACTATTATTTATGCTGAGGACATCTTTATCCAAATACCTCTATACTTACCTTTGCATAGAGAAGAAATCTTTCTGAGCAATCAATTAGAAAAAGCTCAGTTTAATCTGTCTTGTCTCTTTTAATGACTCTTCCCCTGATGATATGCAAACTACTTAACTGCAGACTGTTGCAAAGGATTGCAGAATATGTTCTGCAAAGGATTTACAGGCACATTTTGAAAACAAAAAAGTGCATAATTTTTTTAAGAAAAAGAAAAAAAAAGAAGCGTTTTACATTTACGTACAATGAGCTCTAAATTGGTCCTTGACTACTTTTTAGAATGCAGCTGAGTGCCTCTTTATGTTGCTGCCTTTTAAAATCCGGCTATTAAGTCTACATAATTGTTATTTGAAATGTCTCCGTTAGCTCTGTATCAAACTAATTGAGATGCTGTGTTTAAAGAAAACTTGGTGAAAAAGACAGCGTGACTTCCTGAATATAAAAATGATATCTAGAATCTGAAGGTAAAGTATCTTTCCAAAGTTTGAGAAAATACTGTCTAAAATCAGGTTTTGAGTGGAATTCTGATGCTGCACACAAATGTGCCCTGGAGGAGACACAGAATGGCACTTCCTGCACATGTGCAATTACAGAGCCAGAGACTAATGTCTCTGGCACCAATGAAGTAAAACTATTTTATGCTGTCCTTGTCATGGTCCTCCTGCACAAAATGCCCTTCATAGTTGAAATCATTGATTATATTTCTATAGAAGTTTTTGGCAAAATGCTTTGAAGGGACTGGGAACTCTCATTGTGTTTAGTATTATATTTTCATGTTTACCTTTTGTCCTTGTACTACCAAAAGACCCTGGCAGTGCCATGATCAACTTCTTGTGCTCAAGAACATGAAGTAATTAAGAGGACGAAAGGATACTGCAAAAAAAAAAAAAAAAAAAGTGGCTTATGCTTTTCATCTTAAAACCATGAACATATACTTAGGAATATATCACAGAAGTTTGAATTCCTTTTGAAATTGGATTTTGAGGTGATGCTTGCTAATAAAATCAGTGCATTTTATACAGTCTGTATTTTGTTTTCTTATTTTAAGCAGTGGAACAATAAGAGTCAACAATAAATGTTGCACTTTTATTGTGCTTTTTTAAAATTGAGTTGCCAGATAAAGTCTGTTTTTATTATAACAGCAAGCTGCTGAAAGTAGTCAAGCTACCTTAATTTGTTTCAAAGAAGAAATCATTTTATATACAACTATAAAAAGTCAGTAGTTTATAGCAACAATAAATTTACCTAAAGATTTTAAAATTAGTTCCTGTTACTGGTCTGAACAAATGTTTCTTTGGCAAGTTTTCATCTACAGCAGTGTGTTCTGGTATTCCAGTGGACAATATTTTTATTTCATTTTTCTCACATTTATCTTTGGATCCAACAGCTTCTGGAAGAATCTGGGCTGTTTACCTACATATGGAAGCTAGAAGGGGTCACAGTTTATATTATACATTGCTATGGATGACCTTGTATCATGTTGCCCTGCTTTTTGTTTTTTTTTCTAACTGAATTCATCCAAACCTGTGGTACCTACAGGTTTTGAGCTTATGGACCACTGCAGCCTCTTCCTCTGTCACAGAGAGACCCTGTAAACTTCCCAAAGGTGCACTATGTCTTAGTTGAAGTAAAACATGTTGCTGCTAAACCCTGTCCACTGTGGTGCTTCCTGAAAATCTTCTGCTCTCCTCCCCAGAAATCACAGCTATGTCCTGCCCAAGTGATGAGCAAAAGGACAAAAAGTAGACCCAGTAAAAGGAGTCACTGTGAGCTCAAGATATTAATTGTTCTCAT